AGCGAGTATTCGCGGCAACTCTAACCGACGCCTATAGATATGAGCAGTGCCATGGACATAACAGAGTCTACTGTTTCGCCCATGATACGTTGCCATTCCTGAGGACTCAGGTGTTATTACTCTATACCCTGTAAATTCACGCCATATCCCACCCTTCAAACCGAAACACAGCCATGCAAACACAACTGCTTCACGGTAGAAACACGAATGGGACAGAGGTTCCCAACAATCGACTTTTGTACAAAGTCTCCCTCTCGTCCATATGCGACGAATCTGTATGTATATCCCATTCAGATAAAAAAAAAAGAATTAACCAAATCGGTTAGGAACTGATGGAGTTGTGAGGTAACAAACATAATAAAAAAAAACAACCTAATTGAGAGGGGGGAAAGGGATTGTTAGTAATGTAGACTGAGAATCCCATTGCTAGCAATATACCCAACCAGGTTGACCTCCTCGCGGTTCGCCCTGGAAACTATCATGGTTAATTCCTGATGAATTCATCATGATGGGCTAACTGGCCTGTTTTCATTCTCATCTATCACCCTTCACTGGTGCTCCGCCAGCGTATCCCGTTAGCGCAGGCGGTGTTACCATACCATTATCACCCATCTAAAAAAAACCTAATTGAGAAACTTCTTCTTTTTCTGAAGTCGGTTAAAAAAACGTAACATAATGCGTGGTCAAACAAGCGATAATAAGATTTCATTTAGCCCACAGCATCCATTCAATTACTAGTAATATCGATACCTACATTTCGTCCATTACCCATTACCTACATCTGTACAGTTATGTGACCAATATAATAAGCTCACCCGATATACTGCAATAACATCGTTCTGTCCGTTTGTCCATAAGTATTTTTAAATCAACTCTCTACTACTACCGCGACTCTCCTCTCCTTGCAGTATCCAACAGGACAGAAGAAGTTACTGTTTAAAATTCTTAGTTTAGAAACATTAAAAAAATCCATTGAAAAAATATGTAAATAAAGTTTTCGACCGACTTCAAAATGAAGAGGTTCTCAATTTAATAGAGTAATTTTGTATGTATATTCGGAACCGATTCCAATGATTCTCTTTCCAAACCATAGGTTTATATGCACATGGGTCCAATACAAAAATCTTGCCACAATTGAAGTCATTTTTATTTGCGGAATACTCAATTAAATTCGAAAAAAAACCAGACCTCAAACTTTACAAATTCGTTTAAAAAATAATGCAGAAATGACATAATTTTTAAAAACTAGTTAAGACACATATATAAGGCTTTATATATATGTTTGTGTGTGTATATTTCTACGTGTGTGTATATGTACACTCCACATATACTAAGGCGCTGTTTTTCTAAAGCTACTAAATGTACAGATTAATTCAATGCTTTTTTTTTTTATTTGGAGACTAGTTTAGCCGAAATGATTCTTAGCTTTATCTAATGAAAATGTATCTGAAATTTTTGGTGGGTTATTAATTTATTTATTAAAATACTCATTTAAATTTATGCAATATTATGGACAAGTTAATTATCTGTCCATAATACCAGAGTTCGATATGTAATGTAGCTAATATTTTCTAATATTAGCTAACAGCTATTTTTTAATAGCAGACTTCCATTTTCATGGGAATTCTCAAATGCTTGCCAAATTTACGATTCCAGAACCTTCTTAAATGTGATAAGTGTGATTTATCACTGAAACTGTATTTAATATTAACAATTTGTTCTAATAGAGACGAACATTCTTCCATTCTTAAATTTGTTAACGATGTTGATCATCCACAGATGATGTGTAAAATTGTCTTTGAATTTTATCATATTTTATCGATTATTGATGTACAAGTTAAATCATGTTGCGTATACGCAAGCGACGCTACGTGAAATGCTTAGTGTTTAACCGTTCTACAGTTCAGACCTAGCTCAGAACTTAGTTTGATTTAAGCACTGTGAGTGTACGTCAGTTGAGATGAGATTGTTCTTAGTGTTATTGTGTTTTGTGCTTATTTTCAAAAATGCAAAATTTTATGTAAGTAACTTAAAAATATATATGTTATGTATAAATAATTTAAGTAATTATTTATTTCCAAATTTACCATTTTGAAGTGAATTAAGTTAATAGAAACTTTTTGTATGATATAGTTAATTAATTGACAGTTATGTAAATTTAAAGCACTTAGTAAATGAATAATAAATGAATGAAAATAATTAAATATAAATTATAAATAATATTTCGATCTATAAAAAATGGTGACTGTAATCGTAATAAAGTTCGAATGAAACCAAAATACGACCAAATCCTGTCGATTGCAAAAAGTTTATATGATCATCACGTGCAATAGTTCTCCATTGTATATATTATACTAGCGACCCGCCCCGGCTTCGCGCGGGTACACATTACATTACGTCACATTAGAAACCTCTAAATCATATCAGTGTTTCTCTATAATATTATACATGTATTATAACATATAAACTTTCCTCTTAAATCATTTTATCTATTTAAAAAAAAAAAATTCAAAATCCGTTGCGTAGTTTTGAAGATTTAAGCATACATAGGGACGGACAGACAGCGACAGCGACTTTGTTTTATACTATGTAGTGATAATTCGTGAATTAATATACTCATAGATACATCTGTAAGTATTGATCTATAAAACTTCTTCATTTCTTTTTTACCGTAAAAGTACATTTCTGTTTTGAGGTTCACTGGCAGAGAATGCTATATAAGCATTAAGACCGACTTTTGTACCAAATATTTTTTGTGATGTGATCAATAAAGAATAAATATTGTAAAATAATAAATAGTACTAAACAAAAAAAAAAAAAAAACATCCATTTCAGGGAATAAATCCTATTGATTACCGTAACAATCATTAAAATCTATTTAAAATTTTCATAGAAAGCGTGTAACATATATACAAAAAATATCAAGTAAACTGAGAACTATTTACTTTTAGATATTGGTAAATAAAATTGCTCGTTAACTCTTGAGTTTTTTCTTTTATTTCTTTTTTTATACAATACAGAATGGCAAACAAGCTGACGTCCCACCTGATGGACATAATAATAATAATAATAATCATTTATTTACAAAATATTGGTGATTGCCAGTAACAGATCTTAAGTTATTGTTAAGTAATTGTTCAGCAATATTTACCATTTCGGTGTGTAAATGTTTTTTTTTTTTTATAGTATCCAAAATAAGTTAAATTAACATCAACAAAACCAATTACTTCAAATTACAATCACTAATAAGCTTTTACAATGTCAAGTATCACAAATTACATCTATTCAAAAAGTCTTTCACAGAATAGAAACAACCATCAATTAAGTAGTCAGTGAAAAGTGATTCTAAATCATGTTTATATCATTACAAAAGTATGTATATTCCTCCACTATTTGTTAGAATATATACAGATCAAATATAACTTTTATATTACATATTTTTTTGAAATTTTCTTAACAGGTGACTGTTAAGTGACCGCTTCAAAGTTTTCAATCGACATTAAAATATATATATATATATATATATATATATATATATATATATATATATATATATATATATATATATATATATATATATTTGTTCCGGTAAAGAAATATCATTAACAACTATAAACTTATATAGGTATATCATAAACGACAAATTTATTCATAAAGTCTCAAGCGATTCTTAAAATCAGTGACTGAATATAGAAATTGGTCACTAGTGAGTTGACCCTGTCTCGAATCGAGACAATGCAACACAGTTAATTGAAACTGTTCAAGCGTGAGTCATATTTGTACAGCGATGGTTCCGTAACGGGATATTATTGAATTTTTTTCTTAGATTTTATTATCGTCGTTAGTAGTTTAATCTGAGATCCTACCTGAAGGCAAGTACTAATTAAACGTCACTTAGAAGCATGACCAAAATCGTCGATAGACTGTACTGTTCATAACACAAGAAATGTTACTTAGTTTATCTATAATGGTTTTTTTTTAATCAATGATAATGGAATGATGGCCTCGCTTGTGCTATCGGTATACACTGGCCCTCAATCATGATTGGTGAAGATGAACGAACGTAATGTAACGAATTCAACGATAAATTAGTCACGATGGTTTCCAGGGGGAACCGCGTGGAGGTCGGCCTGGTAGGGTATATTGTTAGTAGTGAGGATTAACCTCCCCATTACTAACAATCCCTTCCCCCCATGTATATACTGTTGGTGTGTCTATTTAAATTCTTTATCTATATTTATATATAAATAGAAATTTATATCTTTATCTATATTTATATATATATATATAAATAGAAATACCAGAATGTATTTATTACATATTTTATTGTAAGGTTAAATTAAAAAATAAAAACAATACAAATAACTTATAAAAACATATGAAAGAACAAAATAAACAGAGCATAATGATTCGTAATGATGCTTGTTACCACTGATTGCCATTGACTTGAGAATAAATTTAATGTTAAAAAATCATAAAAAGTGGAAGTATATTCTATTTTATATTACATTATTAAAAAAAAAGAGGTCGCCTATTAAAATTTTTAAAAATTACCATAATTTGGTTTTATTCAATTAGATAATTTGATTTGGAGTTACAAGAGCATAACTGGAAAAAGGGCACTTAGTATTGTTTAAAAAAAAGTTATAAAGTCTTATCACCAAAACGTCACTTTGGTTGACAAAATATTGACCTGTTTTGAACACTATCAAAAACTACATAATCTAAGGCTAAATTATAACAGCCCAGTCGTTCAGTAGTAAAATAAAAAAAAAAATATACACTACACGAAATGAGAATCTTTTTCTTTTAAAAGTCGCTTAAATAAAAAAAAACAAGAAACAGAGATTGAGTCTCCCTCTTTATATGCAGTTTTGTAAGACATAGTTCTGATTATTTAATATTTGAACCCTAATAATCGCTCTGGTGGCATTTACTCGACAAAAATCAGCATGCGTCATAGATAATGTATTTATATTTAGAATACTAACGTTAATTCCGTTATTTTGTTCATATTTTTTATAAATTATGTCCATTAATATACAATATAAAAGAAGTCAGTTTACAAAGTATAACATGAATATGCTCACGACTTTAATCTCCAATGGGGTAGTCAGATGCATTCATCGATTGCTGTTGTGGTGAACGTAACATCCCTTATGACTGTGGATTTAAATTTGGTCAACCAAATGTAGGTAATATTTTGTCAACATATTAGAATATACCCTTGGTTGTTGAGGGAAGGGCAGCAGCGTCCCTCTTAAAACATCACCATAACCTAACTGCGGTTGCCAACCCGTTTGCCAAGTGTAGCAACTACTGAGGAGACCTAAATTCAGCGATGGACAATTAACGACTGATGTGATGATTAGAATCCAATGTATAAAGGAATAAATCTATTGCCCTCATTTTTATGAATTTAAAATATAATAAGTATCAATTTAAAAAAAATAATTTAGTAATAACTTTCGAGTAAATTATTATTTTATTAATTTGTGACTTTTTTAACTAGAAAATCAGAGTGTATTGAACATGGTCTTACTTTTTTACAGAAAATCGTCAAGAAATCTCCGAAAGAGACATCCATAGAATATTTTACAAAACAAACCCAAAACATAACTATTCCAATAATGATACATATAGACAGCGTACTTACGAAAATGTTGGCAAAACAATACAAGACAAAAAGAAGACACAACATGAGGAATATATCAAAAAATTTATTAAAAGACGTGGAGAAACTATTCAAACATTCTAATTTGAACCAAGAAATAAAATTTAAACTGATAGATACAAAGTTTCTAAGAAATAACATGAAGAAGTTCACGATGGACGAGAACGTGTCGAAATATTTGGAGAGTTACTGCAGTTGGCAAGGGGAGGTGAAGATGATGAAAAAGAAATGGTACTACTCTGTCTTGTTGACTGGAATTGATGTTTACTATATTTATAATAAAAGAATCATAAGAAGCAGTACAGGTAGGTGGTAATCTATGTTATACCGAAATTTTATATTTTTATGCTTAATGTAGTATATCTTTGTCATATAGTCAGTATGTTACTATAATTATGTCACATATTTTTCAGTTTTTGTTTTTTTTTAAACAATTTCGAATGGTAAACAAGCTGACGGCCCACCTGATGGAAAGTGGTAACCGTCGCCTATAGAGATGAGCAGTACCATGGACATAACAGAGTATACTGTTTCGCTCATGATACCCCCCCATGCATTGCCATTCCTGAGGACTGAGGTGTTATTCCTACGTACCCAGTAAATTCACGCTAGACTTAACTAGTAGAGAATGCCATATGACATTAAGCTCGCCACTTGTACAAAATTTTATTGTATACATATAAAGAATAAATAAAATAAATAAATAGATAGCTTTTCCTATAATAAAATATTACACTCCAGTGAAAAATTACGAAAACGACGTTACGGATGCATCCAGTTTTTATATGTATATTCCATATGTATGTGTCGCTATATAATGTTTAAACAACTGAACGGATTTGGATGACGTTAGTACAAAAACGGATCACGTCCTAAATTAATGCATAAGATAAATTTATAACCAGCAAAATTCACAGATAAAACCTCGGATTACAGCTATTGACAATATATAAATATATGTTATTATCAACATATCCTACCACCCAGCAGAGTTGTACCAAATTCAATTATTTACATATATGCGTTACCGTCCATTCCTTGCCCTTTAAGTTCTTGTAGTCGTCTCTTACGACATCCACGGGAAAGGAAGGGGTGGCCTATTCTATGCCGGGACCACACAGCAAATATATGTATATATATATATATATATATATATATATATATATATATAATTCTCGTAATTTCTTAATAACGCAGGTCGCAGCTACATGAGAAGTGTATGCAGTATATTCAACAGTTGTACACTTCTTGAATGGAAACCAAAGAATCTGAGCTATTTACTAGCTCACGAGATTGGACACAGGTAAAAAATATAAATTTTTAATTCAAATATTATATTATTACCAGAGGGAGACTTTGTACAAAAGTCATTTGCTTGGGCACCTCTGTTCCATTCGTGTTTCTACTGTGAAGCAGTTGTGTTTGCATGACTGTGTTTCTATTTGAATGGTGGGATATGGCGTGAATTTACAAGATACAGAGGAACAACACCTGAGTCCTCAGGAATGGCAACATATGGGGGGGGGGGTATCATGGGCGAAACAGTATAGTAGTGGTACATGGGCAAACGACTTTTGTACAAAGTCTCCCTCTGGTAAAACAACTTACGTGGAACATGTTCAAAATGTACCTTTTTAGATATATATATATATATATATATATATATATATATAGTTTTTTTTAATTGGTGACAATGGGATGGTAACCCCACCCGTGCTATCGGTATACACCGGCGGGGCACCAGTGAAGGATGATAGGTGAGGATGAAGCAGGTCAGTTAGCCCATCGTGACGAATTCAACAAGAATTGTTCACGACGGTTTCCAGGGGGAACCATGTGGAGGTCGACCTAATAGGACATATTGCTAGCAATGGGGCTGTCAAACTCCATTGCTAACAATCCCTTTCCCCCCTTTTAGATATATTGATAGATGTAGTTTTTTATAAAAGAAACTACATCTATAGATTTATATAAGAAGGTTCATTTTGAACAAATATATTAGTAAGATAAGGTATTAATAGATCTTTAAAACCCATGTTAATTTCCTTTTCTACAACTAATGCGATCTAAATTTTCTATATCATTGATTATCTTATTTCCAGCCTGGGAATAACACACGACGGTCAAGACTATAATGATTGCAGAAGCACCAAGCACATTATGACGCCTAAATACAATCCACATAATCATCCGCAGACCTGGTCTACATGCAGCAGGAGAGACCTGGATATGTTTCTCGTGTAAATATTACTTTTACGAATATGTTCGAATACAAAATACAACACGAAAACAAGTTGAACGATTGCAGAAAAGTTACCCATTTAAACGACAATACACACATCACTCGCCGTGTCGTCCCGGCGTAGAATGGGTCACCTCTTCCTTTCCCGTAGGTGTCGTAAAAGGCGACTAAGAGGGACAGGGATAGGCAGCAGCGTCCCTCTTCAAACATCTTAAAAGCGTTGCAACTACTAGAAAAACCCCCAAAATGGAGGCCTATGTTCAGCATTGGACAGTTAAATGCTGATATGATGATGATGGTGACCACACCTTTTCTCATCGAACCGTTCGCCATCGACAGAGAATTCATCCTCACACGCTTGAACCTAAATGATCACGTATAGAGTAATTTCAAAGGAAGTTTTCTCCTGTGAACTCAAATCATCTTTATTCAAAATAGACTTGTTTACAAGCACTTTTATTGTCTTTTTTTTTTTAATCTAGAGGTTCGGAAAGTTGTTATCTATTGAGAAGAGCCTGCAAGAAACTCGACAGTTACTCTTTTAAATCTATGTTGCCATTATGTGTATTTATTTAAATATACTATATCTAAAATTGTACTATAGCTTCTATATAAAATATAACCTATGTTAGATAGATTTGTTGCTGTATAGTATAATGCAGTTTATAATTAGTAACAGCTGGTGTCTGCGAACCGAATAATTGAAGATCCGCCATATGTAACATGCAGCCCGGGTTCGATGCCCGACAAATAATAATCAACAAGTGAATTTCTCAAGATATCATGACGTCATAATTGTAACAATAGTTTTTTGTCACGGTTCATTTTTATCACAACTAGTGGTCGCCCAATGGTTGAAATGCGACCATAACTTATATTGTAATAAATGAATCTATTATGGTCATGTGTGACATTCAGTAAGACTATAGACAAATGATATTAAAGACAAACAATATTAGTCTATTCTCAATTTGTCTATTCGATGTGTTATCAGTTCGGAAATACTGCTACCAGAAATTAATTCCAAAGCGTGGTTGTGCGTGTTATTTGCTTGTAGTGTGCGTGGTTATAAATGCATTTAAAATTTTAATTTATACTAGTTTTCATTATATTTCAGAAGCAAGAAGTCATGGTGTCTGCGGCCAGATTACGAGCTACGATTGCAAGCACATATATCTAAATATAAATCTAATTTAGAATATTAGATAATAATTATTGACTAAACAAGTTAAGATTTATTTAATTATATATTATATACATATCCTTTACTAATATGCATTTTTATTTAAACTTAAAAAAAACTATATGTCGCGGTAGTATCATATTAATATGATTATTTTTGGTATTTCATAGTATTTTAATATAAAATATTATTCTTTATATTATGACATAATATCATAGATTACATAATTTTAAATACATACAAATACAGGAAAAAAAAATTGAAAATTCCAGTAAGAATTTACACTGATCTTCAGTTTATTATAAAGGTCTGAATTTGCTGTTACAGACCATTATTCTGAATTGAATAAGGTCTGAAAAAATACATATACATACATATATATTATTATTTGACTAATACACATGGGTAATCGAGGTCTTAACGCGCCAAAAAGTTGATCAGAGCCTGATAGTTTTTTATCAGCAAATATGTCACTTTACGATTTTGCAATATTTATCCTACAATTGCTACAAAATCAATTAGAAAATTTTAACATATAATAATGATTAGTTTTCGCTATTAACGTGTATGTATAAATAATAAACTAGAAACCAGATAAAGCAGGAGGTTAATGTAATGATTGCTATATATTTTTTCCCTATTCACATAATATTTTTTGGCAATTTTGAGTATATTTTGATAATGCATGTATTGTATATGAGGAACAGCATTTTTTGTTTTTTTTTTTTATGCAACTTAGAATAGCAAACAAGCTGACGGCCTACCTGATAGAAAGTGGTAACCGTCGCCTATAGACATGAGCAGTACCATGGACATAACAGAGTATACTGTTTCGCCCATGATACCCCAATTGCGTTGCCATTCCTGAGAACTCGGGTGTTATTCCTCCGGACCCTGTAAATTCACGCCATATCCCACCCTTCAAACCGAAACACAGTCATGCGAACACAACTGCTTCACGGTAGAAACACGAATGAGACAGAGGTATCCAAGCAATCGACTTTTGTACAAAGTCTCCTTCTGGTAGTGTACTGTATGTATTTCGTAACAATTAGACGTCAAAAGATATCAAACAAACTCCCTTTTACATTAATAATATTAATAAAGATGTTAATAAATTCATTAAAGACATAAAATGATTTTTCGTTCCTAATACAAACTTTAATGAAAGTATAAACAATTAGAGCGATACGCCCTATTCACTTTCACCGTATCCGCGTATAATAATGTGAAATACCAAACAATATACCTAATATGTAATTCCAAGCGCGTCCGTCTGTCTATCTCGTACTAAACTCCGTATTTGTATTCGTATGTTATAGGAAGTTTCTCGGTTTCAAATGAAAGTCTTGTCTGGGGGTTGCCAGTGAAATTTAACTATTGCGTGATTACTTGCCATTTCATTTGGAGCATCGCTTATCATGCGTCTGCAGTTCGTTGCTTCTATTTTATTTTACAATTACAACAGGATTCATTTCGATATATTAGTCTGCGGATGTTTTTTTCTATATCATGTGACTACAATTTACTACATAAAAAGTAAAGAAAAATGTACTTATACCATAGATAATATAATACTTCTACGCATATATTACATTACGATAGTTAAAGTTATGTTTACATCTATATTTTAAATAGAGCAACTAAACGAATTATATCAATTCGTTTTATAAAAGTCGGCACTTCATTTATATTGACCAAACTAAGAAATTAATCTATGCAATTATATAACACCATAATATATATGAACATTTATATTGTTGTGTAAATTTTATAATATGCCTCTATCCAAAAAATCAATATCGACAGGTACCAAAATAATCTCGAGTAATTTACAACATAAAACTTCAAATTAAATGAAATGGTTGCATAGATTTCATACAAACAGTTTTTGTTCAAAGTGATGTGAATTTACATTTTTCTGGTATTGGCGGGAAAGAGAAAAGGCAAAATATTTACTTAACACAGCCAATTCTTTTTTTATTATCTCTTTAAAATAACAAAGAAACAAACAGCTTTCCTACAGAAAGTTCCTTAATCTATCCCCTTACATAAATACATACATGAAAACACTTATAAAAACTTACACCTTATAAAAAGTAGCTATTGACAAAAATAAAATAATGCTTTCTTGATATTTTAACATAGAAGACTTGTTAATTTATAGACCTCACAGCTACATATTATGAACTATATCCCAGTGCCAGTCTTTTCAGTGACCGAATGACCTACAGAAAACAAAGCCGTACTGTTATTTGGCGCTAATGAATGCATTCCTGTGTACAATTAGTGTGCGTGATATTAAAACGGAGACAAAAGGCTTACGGTATACAGCCATGGTTGGGTACCCTACAAGGCGTCAAATGTGCCTCTCATGTCGTTTAACACGCTTCATGCACAGCAAATCTTAAAGGAGCATAGAGAAGGCATAAGGGTCGCCAAAATTATCAGACCATAGACATTTTTATTTACCCTTTTACCTTTTATTTTATATTATATTATATAGTTATTATAAATTGCTTTATTACCTGAATCCATATTTATTAGAGGACTGGTATTCCTATTAATTACTTACCCAATTTTAATTTCAAATAAAATTGTAATAGAGAAATTTATGAATATGTTACTGGCGCGTATCAAAATTAAATATAAAAAAAAATATAAAAAAAGTTAGATACTGGCACTTTTCATGAATCAATGCTAAATAAAAATATATACATATAAAACAAAAAAGTTGAATTCTAGAACTAGATATCATTTTGTTTTTTTTTAGGTACATTCGTAAACACAGAGCAAATAAATTAGTACGTTAATTTAATTTAGTACGAAAATTAAGTCAATCAATTTCTTGTATAAAGTAGTTTAATAATAAAATATCGGTAGGTAAGTTTTTAATTTGCATTGTTCTTATTGCACTTCATTTATTTTAATGTTTAACGCACACGTCCGGTCCGACTTTATCACAAAGGCAGACCAACAATATAAGCACTGTATTATTCATTAAGAGAATTCGTCAAAAGAGTCATTATTTTATGTGATTATCATTAACTTTATTTAGAATTGTAATTAGGTACAATCTTATATTATATAGATAGAGCATCGAGCCTCAAAAACGGGTCAACTTTTTGTCAGCTAATTGTACAATTTGCTGACTCGTTTTTTTTTATTTTTATTATATATTTCTATATACTTACGCATACAATGTATCTTGATGTATTATTAAATAAATAAAATGAGTGTTTACACTTTAAAAACGATGCAGAAATTATAAGACAAAATAAAAATAGAAGTTATAAAGGAATCACTTATAACTATTTATCACGCAAAACTGTATGAAAAAGTTGAGCCGCTTTTCTCGAACCATTTGTATGAAGACACTCGATCTACGTAAACTAAGGGTACAATATTATTTATTTTTATTTAGATGACCCCCTGATTTTTATATTACCTACACCGTCATCTATTAAAAATAATTCGAAGTAGCGATGATGATATATCACATTTTTAAATTTTTTGGTATTGGTTAAAATACCGTTACACTTACAGCGTGTATTACAAAAATATTTTGTATGAAAATGACCCCAGCTCAACCACCTTAACTGTCTACCGCTGAACATAGGTCTCTTCCGTGGGGAATTTTGCCAGTAGTTGCCATGCCTGGCAGGCGGATTGGCAACCGCTGTATAACTTTGGTGTTGTTCTAACAAGGACGCTGCTGCCCATCCGTCGACTTATCCCTTATTATAAATGTAGTTTTTCATTTATCAATAAGAAATTACGCTTACCTAAACAAAAACTAACTTAAAATAAATATTAATTCATTAACTCATTGCTGAACATTGCTCTCCCATAAGCGAGTTTTGCCAGTAGTTGCCAAGCTTAGCAGACGGATTGGCAATTGCAGTTAGGCTTTTGGTGATGTTTTGAAAGTTATAATTAACATAGTCGCCTCTTACGACACCCACGAAAAAGGAAGCGGTGGTTTGTTCTATGCCAAGACTACACAGCATTTGTTTTATACAGAGTATCAATGGCAGCTTTTTAAGAAATATTCCACGAGTGAAACTGAAACATTTTTCCTACCCTTCTAATTCCTGAAAGTGTAATATATTTTCAAATTGGACGAAACTCGGTAAGTTTTCTAAAAACGATATTAAAATTACGGGAAAAAAAAAACAGAAAAGGTCCCTCTACTAAAAACTCTACTAGCAACATAGCAACCACTGGCAACCTTTCACCAGAGGGAGACTTTGTACAAAAGTCGATTGCTCTTATTCTGTCCCATTCGTGTTTCAACCGTGAAGCAGTTGTGTTTGCATGGCTGTATTTCGGTTTGAAGGGTGCGATATGGCGTGAATTTACTGGGTACAGAGGAATAACACCTGAGTCCTCAGGAATGGCAACGCATGGGGGGTATCATGGGCGAAACAGTATACTCTGTTATGTCCATGGTACTGCTCATGTCTATAGGCGACGGTTACCACTTTCCATCAGGTGGGCCGTCAGCTTGTTTGCCATTCTAAGTTGTATAAAAAAAAACCTCTCCCCCAGCTCCCAATAAGGGGCGCCCTATATTCAGCGGTGGACAATTGACGGCTGATATGATGATAACACTGCAAATTACACTGAATTAATGTCACATTTTCTAATGTTTAAACTTTCCGAAACCCCGCCAACAATACAGCCAGCCATCTGCAGAGAAAGGCCCCAACAATGGGCCAGACATGTGTCACATATCGAATGCGATCTGTACTAGTCAACGGGGAATATGAAAACTATGGAGCAGCTGTTTGTTGTTTTTTTTTTCAAATCAAGCACCTACCAATATTTACCCTCAGTTACTTGATCGCTGTTTGTGTTACGACTTCTGTGTATTCCTTCTTTTTCTTTATACTATTTATTGTTCCGTTCCTTTGATAATTTAATAAATGTAATGATGAATTACAATTACCTCTCTTATATTACACTCTTATTTTTTACTAGTTTTTACCCGCAACTACGTCCGTGTGATCGGCATGTATTTACTGATCGGAATATAAAGTGACTTATAGTATTCTCGATATCGTAAAGTAGGTTTGTACCAAATTTT